CTGTAATTTCAGCTCTAACATCCTACATGTCTATCTCCTCTTTAACCACTAGATGTAGCTACAATACTAGCTATAAAACTGTCTTGCTGTCTAACTGTCAGGTTGACTGTGACTTTATATTGTAAAGAGTTTCAGCAGTAGGCCTTTTTTCCGCAATAGACAGTTTGACATGTTAGAGTAGGAAAAGCACAGGTGTAGACAACAAAATTAATTAAAACTGAATACATTCAGCTGCATTGTTTTCAGGGTCCCTGTGTTGTGCATGCTGGCTCTGTCACACTGTTGTAGCTCACTGACACACTTCAGTAGAACTGAGTCATCATTAATGTTACTGCTGGCACCTGTGCTTTTCCTGCCATGACAAAACTGCTGCTGTGATACAGACTTGTTAAACAGCGATGGAAATGTTGTATGATACATTCTGCTAGTACAAACCCTAAAGTGTCATCGTCACTGTCACCTTTGGTTTAATTTTAGCATTGTTTTGACATTCCTGCAGATTTATTGGTTTTATATGACTGTATATGTTCTTTTCTGCCCTTTTCCCTGCTGAATTACTTTGTTGTAAAAAACAACAACAACTTATACTACTATTTCCACACAAAAAATACAATCAAGCAGCCTTAAACACTTCAAATATTTTTTTCCTTGCAGCTTCATTGCATAGTGCAGACATATTGCATGCTTGGTGCACCCATGCATACTCTTTTGCTTACAGATTTCCTGCTTTCAGGTCACTTAAATATAGCAGGCACAGGTGCAGTCAATGAGCCATCAATCAGGTGCAATCAATGAGCTGCCAACTCAGTACAAAGAGGAACTTCCACAGCAGCACACTTGTTATAATGGAAAGGAAGAAAAGAGAGAAGAAAAACAAGCAAGAAAAAAGAAAGAAAGAATTTCTGACATTTTTGTTTGGCTGTCAAACAGCTGTCAGTGACTGTTCATTGCTGATAAGCTGTTAAAAAAATGTAGTTGCGTGCCACATGCTTTACCAGTCCCTCGAGGTTTTCACAGGCTTTTTTTGTGATTGTTGCTGCCTGAAATGCCTCATTTCATGGAAGCTTTTCCAAAAAATTGCGGTGCTTGTTGCAATGTTATATAGGCATTTTTGAGAGGCTCCTCTTCTGTTCTATCTGTCTGTATAGCACAAGCTAACACAGAAGCCCAGCAGCAGCAGTTAACTTCACACTGACAGCAAAATGGCTTGACTGACATTAAACCTAATGTTAGCCATGTAATGCTAATAGTTAGCCCTGTCACTGTGTGTCTGTGACTCCAGGAACAGACAGCATCAAAACTACTTGGTTACAGTGGGGAAAAGATTGTAGTTGAGTGAGTTGACTAAATTAAGTAACGACTGATTAATGCGAGTAACAACTGACTTGAAAAAATAACTCAATGTTTACTTTTAGTTTCACACGAGACACAAACTCTAGGCTACTGGGTCAAAGTCCTGTGCTTGTTGGACCCATCCTCCTGCCTACCCTAAGCCGGCTTTCACACTCTTCATACATCCATTGTCCAGAATGTCTAACAATTAAATGGATGGGTTTATTGGAGTTGAAAGCCTGGTGCGTCTCACACAGAGGCTTAAGTGTGTCCCTGGTGTCATTATAATGACACTGGGAGCACCCTGTGTTGTTTATCATTTGTTTAAGTGGTACATGTTCTTTTTGTAACTATCACTTCGGGTAATTGGCACAGTTTTACATTACCAACCTGTTCACTCAGTGGGATGGCAGGTTTTAAACAAAGAAGATTAGGCTGCGGTATTTTCCATTGACTTCACATTGTCATGTTACGTAAATAAGTCTTGTCCTGTGTCACTCTTATCTTTAAATAAACATCATAAAACTCATCTGGACTTCAGCATGGATTTTTTGAACACATCACAGGTAGAGCCCAATAGCCTTACAGTTGCTTCTTTTTACTACTCTGCCCAAGCTGTGTATTTTGACGCCCTGTGAGTGACATCATTCTGACGTGGTTAATCAGAAATAGCTAACGTTACTATTTTTTCATGCTGCTGGTGACTTTTTAAACCAAAACGTGTACTCCACGTCCTCATGGAGGATGTTGTGTAATAACTGTACCACACTTTCCTGGAACACTGCACCAGACTGCATGGACATGAATGAAACATTTGTAGACTCATCACTAAATTTAAACCTGGTTCAATGAGTCAAGTGGTTCATGTTCTGAGGAAAGTGACGAGTGCATTTTAAAGAGCCTGTGAGTTTAAGGGTGTGATTGATTAGTTCTGCTGAGTCAACAAGATGTCTTTTTTCAGTCACACCAAGTCTTTAACTTTGTTACAGGTTATCAAAGTAAACAACTTGACGGCAGGCATTTTGTCTGCGTGACTTTTCTTGTGTTACAGCTAATCTTCCTTAAACATTTACGTTCCCTTCAGAAACCTCAAGGAGTTAATGATAAGTAGAATGAACAAACTCTTGTGTTCAGTGTCTGCTGAAGGACCCTTGTAATCCTTGAGAAACGTTGGGGGAGAAGAAAGGGTAATTTGGGGCATGTCACGGGGTTATCAACTTTGAGTTTAAAATTTCCTTCCTGTTTCTAGAGGTCTGACAAATGCAGCTTTTTCCACATAAAACAGTTATTTAGATCAGCTTTAAGCACTTAGTCACATACCACACATACACAAGTAGTATTATAGTAGAATTTGGCATTACTGTAGTTTCGAAGCAAACCCACAGGTTAATACGTTACCGACACGCAGGATCTGTTGTAACCTTTGTGTTTATATAATGACAAAAAAAGACAAGATGTAGGTGAGTGGAAAGTTACTGACAGACAGCACTATAATTAGTATTAAGCAGTTCTCCAACTCATTTTTGAAATAGGCTAAATTCCTGAAACAGCTGGGCACTGTAGTTTTTGACAAACATCGTGTAAACAGGAGGAAACAGTGCATTTATTGGGAACCATTTTCAGTGGAGGATTAATACAACTAGGTGTTCTATTGAGTATTTCTGGCAGCAGGGTGGTGTATTTGGGGTTGACTCATCATCAGCAATCTAATACATGTTGACTACGCAGGAATGTGTCACCCAGTTTAACACTGGGACTTTTTAATGTGGTTTTAATAGCTTTTGGGTAATAATGGAGCTCAATAGCAGAGATATGCTGTATCATGCTTTGGATTGTCAGTACTTGTAATTTTATGGCATTTAACAACCCAGTCGGCAGAATAAATGTTGGCATTGTACGTTTCTATAAACCATGGCTTGTATGTTATAGTGTCACTAAAAATGGTAAATGGGAATGGACTGCACTTGTGTAACTCTTTTCTAGTCTCCCGATCACTCAAACCGCTTTGACGCTACATGTCTCATTCACCCATTTTCATACACATCGTCACACACTGGTGGCTGAAGCTACCATACAAGGTGCCACCTGCTGCTCAGTAACCATTCACACTCACTCACACACCAATGGAACAGCCATTGCGGGCAATTTGGGGTTCAGTGTCTTGCCCAAGGATACTTCGAAATCAAACCACTGATCGATCAGTGGACGACCCACTCTACCTCCGATCCACAGTTGCATTGTTGGTATTGTAGGTTTTTGCAAACCATGAAAACCTGTCATAGGCTGTATATTTCAAATGTATCACAGTAACATATTTTAAGTGACATAGTATATGACTTTGTGACTTTATCACCAGGGGGTGGAGGGCATGGTAGGTGTGTCACTTAGGAAAGATGGCTGCCGAGCTGCAGACTAATTGCAGACCACTGAGACCAACAAACAACAAAGACCCATTGTTGCCATGATGTCATAGCTGTTTTTCCAGGAGTGCACCTATGTTTCCAGGGTTCTATGTTTCCCAGGTTCTATGTTCCCCACTTAACCCTGCAAAAAAGCTTCTATGTTCCCCGCTTACACAAAAAAGGTTCTATGTTTACCGGGTTCTATGTTGCCCGCTCAACCAAGTGGGAAGCATAGAACCTTTTTTGTGTAAGCGGGGAACATAGAAGCTTTTTTGCAGGGTTAAGTGGGGAACATAGAACCCGGGAAACATAGGGATGACCCCGTTTTTCCAGCAGCATTTTAGGCAATAAATGTGGGTATTTTGTAGCGTCCCATCACTGCTGTTTTTACTGAGATGTGGCTGGTTTTCCTGCAGGGATAGTGCCACCCAAACCAGGTATAAGTTTAAGGTTTAAGCCACAATATGATCTTTTCCTGACCATAACAGGTGGGTTTTGTCCCTGAAGTTAACAACATGTGGAACACAGTGTTGTTGAACCATAAAGTCAAGTATCTGCATCATAATAATGTGCAAATGTAATGTATCCATGGTGAGCAGAAACGTACGCTGCCAGCATTTCTCTGAAGATTGGTTTGGGTTAGGAAAAGATCCTATTTTGGCTTAAAATACACCGTTTTGGTGCCACAAATGCTGCTGGAAGTGCCACATGTCTCATTAAAAAACAACTGATCACCAACGCGTCACACCATCCTCTCCTCCTCATGATGAGAAACTCAGCTCATATACATGTAATCAGAACTAGGTCACTTTAGAAATGTTGATATGCATATGAAATGTACAAATGTGGTTTGCAGAAACTTTGCAGAACCATACGATGCCAGAATTTTCTTCAGATGACTCAGATATGTTGATATCTAGAATAAAATCACCAGACTTGGAAAGTGTCACTGTTTATATTACTTTAAATACATCATCAATTAAGGCAGCAGCACTCTGACAACAGACACACGCACACTGGCTGGAGCTTAGTCACCATGGTAACCATCAACCACAGGCAACGGTCCCTCCTCCCTCCCTCCATCTCTTCCTCCTCTCTCCCCTCCCCCTCCGCTTGGCTCCAGTCCACAGACATTAACGAGACAGGGGGCTTGCTGCTCCCATCATGCTTTGCAAAAGGAAGTAGGAAGAGGCAGAGAGAGAGGCAGGAAGAGGAAGAGCAGCAGAGCTGACGGGTGTAAAGGAGACTGATGGTGGATGCAGAGGCACCAGTCAGGGAGGTATGGCTGATGTTGCCTCCTGTTTGCTCCTCTGGTCCTCTCTGGGTGAGTCCCCCCTCATTTCACGTGCCAGAATAACAAATAGTGTCCAAAAATCATGCTGGATGGGTGATGAAGCTTGTAGACGGTGGAGCAGACAGGCAGACAGATGGATGCTGCCGGTGCATTTAAAGGGACAGTGCAGTAATCCTCTCAGCCTGGGTGGTTTTTGCTTTACAGTGAGGGGTCAACCAAGATGACAAGACTACCAACATCTTATGGTTTTGTCTGCTTTTGTCTGTGGACAGTTATACTCCAGTCATACTGTGGATATGGTCATGTTATGCACACACACACACCCTCAGTGTCGTTCTGTCGTGTGTTACAAATGTGCCGCCAACAGTAGCTGGCTGTGTTTGAGGAAGATGAAGTGAACTGCCACGTCTACACGCTGACAATGATGCCATTCAGTCCAGGCAGCACACAGACACACACACTTTTGTCTCAGACAGTGAATTTTAGCTCTGTTTATTAAAAAAAACAGACACTCATAAACTCAGAGTCTCATTTCTTATTAGTGATAAAAAAAAATAAATTATTCCCTAAACAATGACTCTCAGTCACAGTGAGTGGAGCTTCACTGCTAAAAACTACTGATTCTTAATTACCTTTCTTTTTATTGTTTGACAGGGACAATGCATATTATTAATATTTCTGAAAATATGCCAGAGTTTGAAGTCTGCATAGTAAGTAATAATATTACAATAATAATTCTGGCTATTGTGGTACAATATGTTGAAGGTATATATTAATATCTGATAGTATACATATGTGACAATAATCACATGTGTATAATAACAGTAGAAGTATGACTAATGATAACAGCAGCAGCAGGAGGCATCTGGCAGGACCACGGCAGCAGCACAACCACTATCCAGTCACCGCTGCAATATAAGTTAACCTGCAAGACAGTGGAGCACAAAGGCTCCGGAGAAGAAGCCGAGTTAGCAAGATGCAGTAACAGGACATGAGTGTTAGCAAAGGACAGAGAGAGAGAGAAGGAGAGAAGGTGCCTGGTGTATTATAGGAGGCCCCCCTGGCAGACTAGGTCTAAGTCAGCCTAACTAGGGGCTGGTACAGGGCAAGCCTGAGCCAGCCCTAACTATAAGCTTTATCAAAGAGGAAAGTCTTAAGTCTAGTCTTAAATGTGGAGACGGTGTCTGCCTCCCGGACCGTAACAGGAAGATGATTCCCCAGGAGAGGAGCCTGATAGCTGAAGGCTCTGGCTCCTGATCCACTTTTGGAGACTTTAGGGACCACGAGTAACCCTGCGTTCTCAGAGCGCAGTGTTCTGGTGGGATAATATGGCACTATGAGCTAGTTGGTGAGGTGAGGTGACGCAACAGTCAGCCGTCAATACCACTAGTTCTGTATTGTTGGTTTGGTGTGTCTGGGCTATAAAAACATTAAAAATTACAATCAATGATAAAAGCAGTATGATACACAGGGACAGAGCCTGTACTACACAGAGACAAGACAGGCAGCTGTTATGCAACACAAAGAACTACGCAAAGTAATGACAAATAAAACAAACATGTTCTAGTGTTCACACGTTTGATTTCTAATAAACCAGGCTCCTAATGTTGTGGACAAGGAATGGTAATTGTCACAAGAGAAGCGTGTGTGTGTGTGTGTGTGTGTGTGCTGACCAGTTCAACTTAAAGATTCAATGTTAAAGATTCACATGCCCCCAACAAGACCTACAAGCACAGGCTGATGTCCAACAGCTTCAGACTTTGTACCGAACATGCCAGACAGACTGTGCCAGTGTCCAAGCGCATTTATCCTATTAAGTCAAAATCATGTATAATTTGTGTCGCTGCTAAACGCTGTAGTATTTAAGATTTATTAACTTATTTTCCCTTTATGAAGTAGCCGCTGTTTTTGCCTTTATTAATCCACTTGCAGGGACTTGTTTTACATTTCTTGCGGCAAGTAATCCACAGAGGGCATCATGTTTTTTTCCTTTTTGTTACTGCTGAGCTTTTCTCTTGGGTTAATTAATTATTTGAAAGCTGCAGACTTTTTACGCCTGTCTGAACTTACGGATGCACTGACTCACAAAAATAACAGACCTTTGACAGCTACATGTACAGACAAGATGTTCACTGATCTTTCTCACGCACGTCTATGCCAGGAGATTTTCACACTACTTAGTAAAATGGTTAGCACTGATATTATTATGTGGGCTACATTTTTGCATACTGGTAACTAGGATAGTGTCTTTTTTCACATCAAATTAAATAATGTCAAATGAGTTGTTTATTCAGAAGCAAAATATACACCATTTTGAAACTCAAATTGCAGTTAAGTATGTTTTCGAAGTAGCAAGGTTTAGCTATATGACAAAAAATGCAGTGTGTGTTGAGTTTGGCTCTGATTGGTTGAGTATAAAGCATTTAGTGAGAATATCAAACCACTTTTTAATTGATAACATGTGAGATTATTGGTACATTACTTGTTGGCTTTGTACGTTAATGGATAAATTACATTTGTACACTTTATACGTACCATATAAATGTCTCTAAAGTGACATTATCATCAGGAATTGGAGGGGTTGGTGGATGGCATGACACTACCAAGCTGCAGACTACTGTTTGAGACCAGCAGACAATGAAACAGGTTGTTTTGGGTTTTTTAGTGAGACATTGGCGGCATTTTCTGCCTTAATTGTGGCCCCAAAACCAGGTATCCCATGCCAAAACATGATCTTTTCCTAAACATAGCCAAGGGGTTTTTGTGCCCACACATAACTACACATCAATAAATACGTTGTTGAAATGTAAAGAAGCGTTAAGTTTCAAAACTTGTGCTACATACAGTACAGGCCAAAAGTTTGGACACACCTTCTCATTCAATGCGTTTTCTTTATTTTCATGACTATTTACATTGTAGATTCTCACTGAAGGCATCAAAACTATGAATGAACACATGTGGAGTTATGTACTTAACAAAAAAAGGTGAAATAACTGAAAACATGTTTTATATTCTAGTTTCTTCAAAATAGCCACCCTTTGCTCTGATTACTGCTTTGCACACTCTTGGCATTCTCTCAATGAGCTTCAAGAGGTAGTCACCTGAAATGGTTTTCCAACAGTCTTGAAGGAGTTCCCAGAGGTGTTTAGCACTTGTTGGCCCCTTTGCCTTCACTCTGCGGTCCAGCTCACCCCAAACCATCTCGATTAGGTTCAGGTCCGGTGACTGTGGAGGCCAGGTCATCTGCCGCAGCACTCCATCACTCTCCTTCTTGGTCAAATAGCCCTTACACAGCCTGGAGGTGTGTTTGGGGTCATTGTCCTGTTGAAAAATAAATGATCGTCCAACTAAATGCAAACCGGATGGGATGGCATGTCGCTGCAGGATGCTGTGGTAGCCATGCTGGTTAAGTGTGCCTTCAATTTTGAATAAATCCCCAACAGTGTCACCAGCAAAACACCCCCACACCATCACACCTCCTCCTCCATGCTTCACAGTGGGAACCAGGCATGTGGAATCCATCCGTTCACCTTTTCTGCGTCTCACAAAGACACGACGGTTGGAACCAAAGATCTCAAATTTGGACTCATCAGACCAAAGCACAGATTTCCACTGGTCTAATGTCCATTCCTTGTATTTCTTGGCCCAAACAAATCTCTTCTGCTTGTTGCCTCTCCTTAGCAGTGGTTTCCTAGCAGCTATTTGACCATGAAGGCCTGATTCGCGCAGTCTCCTCTTAACAGTTGTTCTAGAGATGGGTCTGCTGCTAGAACTCTGTGTGGCATTCATCTGGTCTCTGATCTGAGCTGCTGTTAACTTGCGATTTCTGAGGCTGGTGACTAGGATGAACTTATCCTCAGAAGCAGAGGTGACTCTTGGTCTTCCTTTCCTGGGTCGGTCCTCATGTGTGCCAGTTTCGTTGTAGCGCTTGATGGTTTTTGCGACTCCACTTGGGGACACATTTAAAGTTTTTGCAATTTTCCGGACTGACTGACCTTCATTTCTTAAAGTAATGATGGCCACTAGTTTTTCTTTAGTTAGCTGATTGGTTCTTGCCATAATATGAATTTTAACAGTTGTCCAATAGGGCTGTCGGCTGTGTATTAACCTGACTTCTGCACAACACAACTGATGGTCCCAACCCCATTGATAAAGCAAGAAATTCCACTAATTAACCCTGATAAGGCACACCTGTGAAGTGGAAACCATTTCAGGTGACTACCTCTTGAAGCTCATAGAGAGAATGCCAAGAGTGTGCAAAGCAGTAATCAGAGCAAAGGGTGGCTATTTTGAAGAAACTAGAATATAAAACATGTTTTCAGTTATTTCACCTTTTTTTGTTAAGTACATAACTCCACATGTGTTCATTCATAGTTTTGATGCCTTCAGTGAGAATCTACAATGTAAATAGTCATGAAAATAAAGAAAACGCATTAAATGAGAAGGTGTGTCCAAACTTTTGGCCTGTACTGTATCTACACACTCTCCTGTACTCTTAGATCCTCTTCTGGAATCCAGCTCACATCACCCGCTTTGACTACCATGGGTTCTAGAGCCTCCAGCCGTTCTCTGGGAACCCCTGCCTCTGTCCCGCATGACATTCACAATTTTGACTCCCTTTTCAGCATGGTGGTGCAATGGTTGGCATTCTCGCCTCACAGTAAGAGGGTTACTAATTCGCACCCAGGATAGGGGAGCTCTCTGTGCAGAGTTTGCATGCTCTCCCCGTGTCAGCGTGGGTTTTCTGTGGGCACTCCGGCTTCCTCCCACAGTTCAGTTCAGTGCAATTCGGCTCTATAGATAGTTAACCTTTAAAAGTAGATTAGTAGATCAGATTTGTATAGGTGCACGGCTAAAACTTCAGATCATGTGCTTAGATTCAATTTATAGACACTTATATGATACATAAGCAGATGCAGATTGTGATTATTACATCACAGTGTGAGTTTTTTTCACCCTGGCCGGTACAAAACATTGTAAGTTCCTCTTTTCAACACAACAATAACATCTACTCTGAGTGTATTTGCTAGTAGACATATATGTAGGTTGTTTCTGGCACAGTTCACACAGATAAGGGGGGCACTTCCTTACCTTTTGCACCTCAGACACAGTTTATCTTCTGTTTGCTATGTAGTTCATTGTGTCACTGGGTTGTATTTAAACAGTATATGACATGCAGACATACCAGTCTGTGCTCATTTTCACTTTGCGAACGTGATTTCAGGCCCAGGCATCCTACAGGGCACACACACTGTGATCTCATAAAAAGTTGACTGGATTTAACCTCATGCCCGGAGTTGCCTCCTCTACACACACTCACGCACACAAATGCATTTATGTTGACAAGCCCCACCCACTCCTGGCGGCCAAACCAATAGAGAACAGGTTGAGGGGGAGCAAAGGGCTGCTCTTATCTCACTATTTATCCAGCAGAGATCACACTCGCATCTAGTGCTGTCTGACTCCTCAGATGACATCAGACACACAGAGAGAAGAACATATAAAGAGACAGAGCAGAGGAAAGAGAGACAGAATGAGAAGAAGTTAATGCAGTCAGCACAGAGCTGATTTAAATACAACGCATCAGAGACTTGTGGTCCTGTTTGTCCCTGTGGCTGTGACTCTGCAAGTGAGTATGTTATCACACTTTACTGACTGGTAGTGTGTGTCCAAGAAGTGATCACTGATGCTTTCAGAGTTGGTTTTACTCCTACTGAAAAGCAGCTAAAGAGGGCGATGAGACTGGAGTTGACTCCTATAGTTCTGCTGTCATGGTCCAATCAGGAGGATTGCCTGTGTCACTTTGACTTGATTTTCTGATAAAGAAAGGATATGGCATTTTGGAGAGCATTACTAAATTGGTGATGTTGATCTTTGGTCCTTTTTATAGCCTTTAAAGGAGCACGTTTTGTATCTTTTCTTTATGCATTTTCAACATGAGTCATCTTTATTATCTCAAATTAAGCACTTGAGAAGGGCTTTTCAGAAATAACCAGTTTCCTTAATGATGATCATCTATTAAAAACAGTTTGATGTGCAGCTTTCGACAATGATAAGCATCTTCTGAAAAGCACCTGTTCCCTAAATCAAAAGCGGCAAAGCAAAGGTGGAAGGGGAATTTTTGTCTGGTTGTCAAACTGCGGAACTATCAGCTTTCATGGTTACGTCATGTTCTATCTTATTGTTGTGTTTAACATTTGAAAGTGTACTCGGGATAATTACTGTATTCCTGGCTCCAGTGGTTCAGCCGCGCTTTTAAAGACTCAGGAAATCATCACCCCAAAGAATTTGAAAAGTCATATTTGTCATAAAACTAGGATAACTTTATACTTTTGGCCAACAAAATTACATCATATATCATATATGCACATACTTTACTTACCTATTTTGTTGCTGTCTGCTGCAGTAGATTGAAAAAAATTTGATTTTAAGATATTATGTTGGTGAAAAATACTGGTGACAACTTCAAGGAGTCATCTCTGTGCTTTCTGTTACAGCTAACCTTTTCATCTGTGAAGTCAGTATGTAGTTATCTTTGCCCCTTTAAACTTCAAACGTCACTTGATAGAAAAAGATTTTAACTTTACATGAAAGACAAAGGAGGGAAGCTTTCAGGTCATTTGTAAGCATTACTATCACATGATTAAAGGCGGAGAACATTGATTTGAAACGCTTCACAGAAACAGCTTAAATGTAATGTCTCAGGGTTGACACTGAGGTGACTTGTATTATTTGCTTCCAAAAGGTCCTCAGTGTGATTCCTGTCATGCTCAGCTGTTAATCAGGTGTCTGTGTTTCTCTACTTGAAAGAAAACTTTGTTCAGGTGGACATTATTTATCTGTTGGCAGGAGTGTTGAACACCAGCGTGAGGTACTTCTTGTGTTCTTAGTCTCTTTTTGGAAATATTCTTGTACCTCAAAGCTGCACAGCCTCATTTTTTATCTCCCGTGTCTTTTATCTGTTCAGAAAGTCAGGCTGGATTTATAGGACCCATGTGAACATAGACTGGCCTCTGTATTGGGTTATTTAAAGGGTAATTCCAATGCAAAGTGAACAAATATCATCCTGAAAAGTAAAACTGCCTAGAAACAGTGATCAGTAAAAGAAGAAAATGCAAAGACAATGAAATTTAATTAATTAATTAATTGAAACCACCGCAAAATGTCAAATCTGATGTAAATACACATAAGAAAAAAATCATTCCCCTGTTATATCAGTCTGTAAGGGTTGCCAGTTCGGCCACAGGAAGTCTAAATCATAGCACATACCAGTGTTGTGATGGCACAGGCTGATAACACACCATTTAGAGTATTTATGGTTTCTGCAACATGATAATCTCTGCGGAGACACAGCTGCTGCTGCAAACGGCTAACCTTGTAAGAAAAGCCTTCTGCAAACCATTGATCACTGTAACTTCATTCATGACTGTCGTGTTGAACAATTAATTAATTAATTAATTAATTAATTGGATAAAATATAAGTTAAAAGATAGTGCCAATTTTAGGTTGTTAAGACCAGTTATGGTATAATTTCCATGAAAACCCGCTGAAACAGAATTTAGACCATTGTGTACTGCTAAAATAAAAGCCTTATACAACTGTCCTTCCCACAGTTCCCCAGTTAGACACTTACATAAACAGTACTGAGATTTTTAGCATTTTTACTCCAAAAAAGGAGTGTTAAATAAAGATGGTTAAGTTAATTTCAGCTCCTTACGTGTGTGTGTGTATGTATGCTCATAGAAAAACAAAAGAAAATTCCCACACATAAATTTCACCTCTGCAATGCCCTTTCATCATTTTATCAAGGTACACTCAAACATAAATAGAGAACGACAATAAAAGAGCTGAATGAAGAGAAATCTACATTTGACTTTTACTGGTCTTGTCTCGGTCTCAATACCCTCTAGTCTTGGTCATGACTTGTGCTGTGTCTCAAATAGTGTACTTCTGTACTTACTCTTAATATTTTGAGTGCATAAGTGCGTTCACACTGAGAAGTATGGAAAATGCAGTGCACTATGAGTACCCGGATGGTGCACTCAAAACGGTCAAGAAGTTGAGTGTGGAACTATGGACACTTCTCGCCCTCAATGGTCGCCATCTTGGCTACGTAGTGGAAGTGGAGGGACCACTCGTCAAACTGGAAATAGCGGCCGAGGACTGTGCGACCGTGAACGTCGCTGCATTGTATAAATACATGTGTTTTTTGCGCTAAGCACCACTATACTGTTGTTGGGTATAAGCCAGCAGTGTGTTTATTGGGTTAATTTAGCAGTCGGTAATGATTTGATACGGTAACGCAAATGCTAATGCTAGTTTGCTAACTAGCTAATTTGTGGTCGTCATTTCCGGTGAGTGCAAAACGGCCTTGTTTGGTTTGAGACAACACTACCCTGTCGAATTTCGCGCTACGCCAATGAGTAGATAGTGCACATAGTATACTACATGGAAGTGTACTAACAGAAGTATGTGATTTGAGACACACCATTGGTCTCGTTTAGGTGGTCTTGACTACAACACTGATAGTAAGAAGATAGTTTTAAGTAGTAGCAGAGCACAGCTGTGGCCAAAATATCTTCCTCATGGTGGTACTAGATAAAAAGTCAAAGGATAACCAAAGCTATGAATGTCTGTACAAATTTCTTGGTATTCCATTAACACACCACATGTAGAGCCACACCACTAACATGGCTAATAATGTCTCAAGACAGCATCCTTTCCTCAAACAGCACCAAGAGTGATTGAACAATTTCTTTGCTGTTCGTATATAGACGGTTTTTCTTCCCTCCCATTGCTCTGGCATACTTTTATAATAACCCTGTCCTCACTTAGCCTCAACCTACATATCAGACCACAACAAAGAGTGCGGCACTGGTACCAGTAGTAAAGAATCTATCAAAAGAAACAGTACAGGTGAAGGACTGACAGAGATATGGATGAAAAAAAGAGTAGAATCTGAGGCATTTTTCGTTAAAACCAGGGCTAATTGTAACTCATAGGTTGTTTTTTTAGCATATGGCTAAGAAAGCTTTTAGCCAATTGACTTCAGTCTTACTATCAATACTGCACCCATTGGATTGTACTCTTGTATGGAACAGGCAATAATACTGACAGCAGACTAAACAACCCAACACTGCACGTTGCTACAAATTGATTATTCACAGTGTACATAACTACAGTGCAGTTTTCCCTATGACTGGCTCACAACAGCACATCTCAGTCACTGACTAACCTGTGCTCTGGGAAAAGGAGCTCATTAACACTGAGCCAACTGTTGGTCAGTTACCTTTGCCGTGAAATATACTGACCAGTCTGTATTATTGCATAACTATTCATTGAAGTTTAACAGAACAGTTGTCTTGGGTAAATTGTTTGATTTGGACATTGGTTTGTTGGGAAATAAGAAAGTCATTCACTGCAACACTTAAATCGTAATCCTGACTGAACACAAAGGGCAGAGTGAGGAGTTTAAAGGTGATGTGCCAACCTAAAAAAAAAAACCTGCACTGTCCCAACAGAGCAATTAAAGGCCCCAGAATTCAAACATATGGCAAACATGCTACTGTGAACAGGAAGATACAGAATGTTATGTATGGACACTGATATTTACTGTTTTATTTTGATAAATCTCACAGGAAGTAGTCTGTAGGGATTTGGCTTGGGAACCAGAGGGTCACCGGTCAAGTCTCCATACAGACCAAATATGGAGCGTGGACTGGTAGCTGAAGGGGTGCCCGTTCTCCTCCCTGGCACTGCTCAGGACGCCTGTCCAAGGCAGCCCCCTCACTACGACATCGGTCATATTTGTGCATGTGTATTTTGGGCCTATGTGTATGTGACAACAAAGTGAAAAAGAAATTGAATTTCCCCTTAGGGATTAAAAAAGTATATCTTCTTCTTCTTCTCCTTCTCTTCCTTTGTCTTGATAATGACCTCCCAGGAGCACAGCTGACCACATTACCCACCTCCCCTGCCTCTTCCTCTCACCTTGCTGCCACCTCTTCCTCCCCACAACCATGGAGGAGGTCACCAAGGTCGCACCACCTCTCCTGGAACGCCGGGCTCGCCAGCGACAGCCCACAGTTTCGGTCCTTAAATCCAAGCTGAGGCAGAGTGTGACCTGCTCCGTGCCAAAAGTTCGGTCCACCCTGACCGGGTTCTTCCCCGTTGTACAGTGGCTGCCTAAATACAAGCTCAGAGAGTATGTCTGGGGCGACCTGATGTCCGGGTTGATCGTTGGTATCATCTTGGTACCGCAGGCCATCGCCTACTGCCTGCTGGCAGGAGTGGAGCCCATCTATGGTTTATACACCTCGTTTTATGCCAACATCATCTACTTCTTCATGGGGACGTCCAGACATGTCTCTGTGGGGATCTTCAGCCTCATGAGCCTCATGGTGGGACAGGTAATGGATCACAGGTGCACAAAATAATCATATAATTTGGGTCTTAAATGAAATGTTGATGTACTTTTTACTGGTAAATCTCCCACAAGTGAAAATTCTAAAGTAGTACAACATGTTCTTGTTTAGTTTATTTTAGAATGTAAATCAAAAGGGTACTGATTAATTAAACATATAATTTATGATTAACATAAAAAAATATTTATTGGTTTTTCAGCATGCAGGGGAAGAAACACAAATTTGCATACAATCACCCAAAATGTTCATTATTTTATTTTTCACTCATTATTTTACAATTGTATTTCTTGGCTTTCATTTCATTGATTAATTAAGATTTCGACTTGCCTGCAGGTGGTGGATAAGGAGATGTTCCTGGCAGGTTTTGACCTCAATGAGGACTCAACAGCATCTGGCCCTGATGTGTTTAATGCCACACTGGGCACTAACCTCACAGCTGGTACATTTCACAGTGTGGAGCTAATGGGAATGCAGTGTGGGAAGGAATGTTATTCCATCGCCATTGCTGCTGCCCTCACATTCCTGGCTGGTATCTATCAGGTAAGGGATGCAGGTGCAGTTTGGGACCACAAACAGTGCAATGGAACAATGTCTTTAAACCAAAGCCAAAAGAAAAAATTTGCATTGTACGTTTCTGCCAACCACGAATATGATATTGGCACATATCATGTTTCTAAAATGTCGTAGTACATGAGCTGACTTTGTCTTGTGGAACTTGAGGAAAAGGTGGATGGCACAACACCTAGACGAGATGCCGCCTGCTTAGCTGTTGACCACTGCTCGAGACCAACAAACAACAAAACCAGTTGTGATTCAGCAAGTCATTGTTATGTTTTTAAGCAACAAACATGGTCATTTTGTTTTTCCCACAGCTTTTTAGGCATGAAAAGTCATTCTTTTTTACATAGACATTGCTAGGGTTCAATTTTCCTTCAAGAAATTGGGCCCCCAAAACTGGGTATTTTAAGCCAAAACAATTTCCTTGCATAACCAAGTGATTTTGATACCTAAACCTAACCACACATTCATCTCAACCTTGTTCAAATTTTTAAAGTTTCAACATATCTGCTACATAATAACATGCATAATATATCTGTGTTTTGTAAAAACTTACAATACCAACATTTTTTTCTGGCAATTGGTTTAATTAAACTCAGGAGATCACCAGTTACAATTCATCCTGTGGGGACGTGAATGTCTTTGCCAAATATTCGGCCAATCGCTCCAATGGTAATTGAGAAATTTTACTCTGAACCAGAAATGTAAACCGCGTAGTGATGCAACAGGAAAAGTCAGAGAATCCCCAAAGTCATTAGGATACATAATCTGGAAACCACGAATGTCTGTACCAAACTTTGTGCCAATCCATGCTTCAAACGTTGAGATATTTCCTTCTATAAAGTGACTTTCATTCCTATCCATTTTCTGTCTCCCCCTTTCTCTCCTCCTCTACCTCCCGATCTGCCCACCAGGTCTTGATGGCCGTGTTTCGACTGGGCTTTGTCTCTGTCTACCTTTCGGCTCCCATGCTCGATGGTTTTGCCACGGGAGCTTCTTTCACCATCCTCACTGTGCAGGCTAAGTACCTGTTGGGTCTTAAGATTCCCCGTCATCAGGGCTACGGCACAGTTGCTGTCACATGGTTCAACATATTCGCCAACATTCACAAGACCAACGTGTGTGACCTCATCACCAGCGCCATCTGTATCTCTGTATTAGGTAAAGACATCTATTTTACATATTGACCATCAGATGTTTAGTCACTGTTATGCACTGCCTCATGCCCTTCTGGTTAATGATATACTGCACTTCCCAGAATGATGAGGGACAAGGACAGGTATTGCCCATACATTTTCGATGGATTAACACTATGAATTGTTTTATCACAGTGGCGGGGAAAGAGATCCAGGAGCGCTACAAGGATCGTCTAAAGATCCCTCTGCCAACTGAGCTGGTAGTTGTGGCAGGAGCTACACTGGCCAGCCACTTTGGGCAGCTGAACAGCCAGTATGGCACCAGTGTTTCTGGTCACATACCCACAGGGTTCATTCCTCCCCAGGTGCCCAGCTTTAGTTTGATGCCACAGTTGGCGCTGGATGCCATTCCTCTGGCTGTCATTAGGTAATGTACAACCCATTTTACAACATGTTTGCTTGGCATCAACATGTGTCTCTTATCTGGGCTGTCACAACTGCAATTTAATAGCCATAAAGGTGCTCATTTGAATGATGATAACTCATAAATTAGCATTGTAGTACATCCTGAAACAGATCAAAACAACATCCTTACAAGACAACAACTGAGTCTTAATTTCAAAACATTTATGGATGCAAATAAAGTCATAAGTACTATTTTATTTACACTTTGTTGGATGCCTTAAAGCATGTTTGGATCAGATTGAGAACAAAGATTAAGTCACCTTAATCACCTTTGTTTTGTCTTGTAGCTTTGCCTTCACGGTGTCGCTGTCCGAGATGTTTGCTAAGAAAAATGGCTATACGGTTCGACCCAACCAGGAGATGCTGGCCATCGGCTTTTGTAACATCATCCCCTCCTTCTTCCACTGTTTCACCACCAGTGCAGCACTGGCAAAAACCATGGTGAAGGACTCAACAGGCTGCCAGACACAGGTGCATTTTATACTTAGAAATTCTTAACTTCTTAACTTGTCTTCCTTGCATAATGAAATTGTTTCTAGGAACACGACTGAAGTTTGTCCTGAGGCCATGTTTCTGTTCCTCCATCAGGTATCGAGTCTGATCAGTGCCCTGGTCGTCCTCCTCGTCCTCCTCTTCTTCGCACCTTTCTTCTACTCTCTTCAGAAGTGTGTTCTTGCCTGTATCATCATTGTAAGCCTTCGAGGGGCACTCAGGAAGTTTAAGGATGTCCCAGCTAAATGGCGTGACAGTCGGAGCGATGCCATTGTTTGGCTGGTCACCATGTCGGCCACAGCTCTGATCAGTGTGGAGATGGGGCTCCTGGTGGGAGTAGTTTTTTCCATGATCTGCGTCATCTTCAAGACCCAGAACCCTAAGGTGAGTAATGCATTTGATACTTATAATGTTTTTTAAAATCTGATACAAATGACAGTCACTCCAGCATGTATAAGACAAATATTGGCCTTTAGTAATAACATCTAATCTGATGTCTGATGTCAGATGTCTCTCCTGGGCCGGGCCAATGACACCGATCTTTACGAGGACATAGAGGAGTACAAGAACCTCGTGCCTCCACCTCGAGTTCACGTTTTCCGCTTCCAGGCTCCTCTGTACTACGCCAACAAGGACGCATTCCTCAGATCCCTCTACAAAGGTGTCGGAGTTGAGCCTTTCTTGGAGCTGACTAAGCGACGAAAGGCAGAGAAGAAGGCCAAAGAGATGTCCTTGAAGCAGGCCAAGGTAAATGGGGACAAAATCAACGGAGAGGTCGTTCTTGGACTCATCCAACGAGAACTGGATTTCCACACAATAGTTCTAGACTGCTCTGCCATCCCATTCATAGACTCGACAGGCATGGCCACATTTAAAGGGCTGGTCAAGGAATATAAAGAGATCGGGGTGAACGTGCTTTTCGCAAACTGTAACACCTCAGTCATTGATACCCTGCAAGAGGGAAAGTTCTTCGGGAAGAACGATGAAGACATGAGCAGCCTGCTGTTTCATACAGTTCATGCGGCAGTTCTCCATGCAAACAGTATGTTTGTAGCAGCAGAGAGCAGGGCAGAGGACTCCGTGGTGTAGAGCAGCAGGAAGGAGAAGGAAATTAGGTATACTATCTTGCCACCTATAACAATACTACAATAGGTTACGTCTTTTAGGAAGCTTCATCCAAGAAAACATGGGGATACTAAGAGAACCCAAGTAGGAAGTGTTTTGTAATACCAAGTAAATATCTGATGCCTTGCCCCTCTAAAAACCAGACCACTTAAAGCCTGATCTGCCAAATGAGCATTCATTTCAACATTTAAAATGCAATTTTATTGATGGAAAGAAGGTCATTGAATAAAACTAGGTCATCTATGTAGTAGAAAGGTGACATTATTTTTAAAATAATGCCAAGTGACTGAACGGGGTCGTATTCCCTATAGCTCTTAAGTGGAAGATACTGCAACAACTAGGATTAATTGCACATGGTGCCTTCCTAGGCAACTTTCGGGACACTCCTTTCTAGAAACAGAAGCCCCTTCCTCCTCCAGCTTTACTCCACCGAGCTTTTGTTGTATAAAGTGCCCAGAATATCTGATTCCAACATTGTATCATAAAACAAGTTTTCTCAGTGGTATTTTAATATGAGTTTTCCTAGAAAGACAACAGACGGTTTTGCTTGCTTAGATCGGAGACGCTCCTTCTTAACCTTCCTCAGTGGCAGACAGAAAATAAAGTACAGCATGTGGTTCAAGTCCTCTGCAACCATGTTTTCTGTCATCCAGTGGATTTTTTTTCAATACAGGGGATGCAGAAGGAAATTTAGTGTCATTCATACTGTATACATAAGCAAGTAAATTTATTTTTTTTATCACAGAATGACTTGCCTCTGGCAGATAATGGCAACAGCTAGTGTCCAGCGTTGTCAAAGACTAACTGCTAGTTCTTATTTAGCTGCTGGTTACCAGCCACGACAACAGGGCTGGTATTTTTTTTACCTTGTGAGTTTGTTTGTGTGTCATCATGGCAAAATGTGGTCCTGAAGACACCTGTTGAAACACAAAGACCACAGAAGTGGTTCTTGTGTAACGTGTTTATTTTCCTGTCTTCGGACAGACTGTGTCACCACGATAATGTCTAAGTCATAAAAGACGCAATCACAAAATTTTACAGGTGTGTATTTGAGGTCACAATGAAGGCCGAGTTCATAGACGGGTGTGGTCCAAGCAACGGTGCCAGGAGTACTGGGAAAGGAAGTAGGGAAAGGGGCAATTGACCCTCTACCCCCACTTTACAGACCTGGTCCAAACTCATTTCACGATGCGGCTGGAGTGATCCCGTTGCAAGACAGTCTCTAGTTAATCTGGGTCTGTCATATAAAACATTTGTGATGCTCTGTCGAAAGCAATGTTTGTTGTGATGAAAGCATTTTTCCCTTTCTATGTCATTACAAGCCTTTGGCCAAAGTCCATAATGGTTCTAATCCAGGAGTCCAGAGTTCAGACAGGGAGATTCATCCACTATGAACGGTATTTCGTGGGTTGCAAACTATTACCTTGGACCTCAAAATCATTTCTAAAAGGCCAGTTAAACCCTTTCAGATTTGAATAACAGTTGCTGGAAGAGACACTTTACGTAACTCACACGGACTGAGAGCTTTTTCAAACTCAGTCTCACACAGAAAGAGCCTTACCTGCTAACCGGGGCTCATTACAACATGTTGTACTTGTACTCTTGCCCTGGTCACCCACCAGTGACAGCTATATCTGTTATAGATCTGTTCTCATAAAATAAAGGATTTACACACATCTGTGATCTCTTCTCGGGTGCTGGACAAAAGCAAGTTTTCATCTGATGCTTCTGAAATATATATTTAAAGTAATGGCAGCAGGTGATGCCACGAATTTTATCAAAATACTTCACTGCCACTGATTTGTTCAATCAATTGTTCTGCCACTTGAAAAATAAGAGCACTGTTTTCCTTATGTTGGAGCCAAGTGTGAAATTTTAATTAAAACAATTACAATGTTCTGAAAGTATCCCAACTTATGTATGTTCAAAGGGATGTATTTTTTACTTTCACATGAACATGTTCATGTCAAACGTCATGACAGTGTTATGTCAACTGTTGATGAACTGGTGTTTTAATAAGATGTAGACATTCTCGTTAGCATTTTGTATTTTCATACACTTATTTTGTCATCAACTGTAATTTCCATGTATTAATTTAACTTTAATCATGATAATGATTACATCAAGTTTTTGGGGGAGTCTGTTTGACTTTCATTGTTGACATAGTGTTGACATTCAACACCTACATACGAATACTGCCTTAATGTCCAATACTTGAATTAAACTTACAAGTTTTTAGCGACGAGCTTGTGTCTGAGTTATTGTCATTACTAACAGATGTTTATCATATCAAGGGTGTATCGATTATCGATTTTCAAGTCAAATATGTTTCAAAGTAAAGGTCCTCCAAATGAAAGCTTCCCAAAATGCTGATTAGTGTTGACAACCTGTGCAGCCTTAACCATTAACACAGTTCTGCTGAGTCAGGCTCCACACAGCTATTCATTAGTCCATGGAGTAATGGCTATTGCTAACATAATTATCACATTTTCAAACACTACAGCATGTCTTGTTGTGGTCAAAGTCAACCTGAGCAACAGTGCTACCTCAGCATTTTGTGTGACTGCCCCTCTCACAAACAGAGAGTCAGCTACGAGCTTACATAGTCCATGTAATTATCCACAGCATAGTCACACATTCAGGTATATCTTTTACTTATTAACTGTAAAAATACTGAGTCAGCTGTTTATCCATACTGGGTTTGTCAATGATTAAAAAGGTTTAAGTATACAGTACAGGCCAAAAGTTTGGACACACCTTCTCATTCAATGCGTTTTCTTTATTTTCATGACTATTTACATTGTAGATTCTCACTGAAGGCATCAAAACTATGAATGAACACATGTGGAGTTATGTACTTAACAAAAAAAGGTGAAATAACTGAAAACATGTTTTATATTCTAGTTTCTTCAAAATAGCCACCCTTTGCTCTGATTACTGCTTTGCACACTCTTGGCATTCTCTCCATGAGCTTCAAGAGGTAGTCACCTGAAATGGTTTTCCAACAGTCTTGAAGGAGTTCCCAGAGGTGTTTAGCACTTGTTGGCCCCTTTGCCTTCACTCTGCGGTCCAGCTCACTCCAAACCATCTCGATTGGGTTCAGGTCCGGTGACTGTGGAGGCCAGGTCATCTGCTGCAGCACTCCATCACTCTCCTTCTTGGTCAAATAGCCCTTACACAGCCTGGAGGTGTGTTTGGGGTCATTGTCCTGTTGAAAAATAAATGATCGTCCAACTAAACGCAAACCGGATGGGATGGCATGTCGCTGCAGGATGCTGTGGTAGCCATGCTGGTTCAGTGTGCCTTCAATTTTGAATAAATCCCCAACAGTGTCACCAGCAAAACACCCCCACACCATCACACCTCCTCCTCCATGCTTCACAGTGGGAACCAGGCATGTGGAATCCATCCGTTCACCTTTTCTGCGTCTCACAAAGACACGGAGGTTGGAACCAAAGATCTCAAATTTGGACTCATCAGACCAAAGCACAGATTTCCACTGGTCTAATGTCCATTCCTTGTGTTTCTTGGCCCAAACAAATCTCTTCTGCTTGTTGCCTCTCCTTAGCAGTGGTTTCCTAGCAGCTATTTGACCATGAAGGCCTGATTCGCGCAGTCTCCTCTTAACAGTTGTTCTAGAGATGGGTCTGCTGCTAGAACTCTGTGTGGCATTCATCTGGTCTCTGATCTGAGCTGCTGTTAACTTGCGATTTCTGAGGCTGGTGACTCGGATGAACTTATCCTCAGAAGCAGAGGTGACTCTTGGTCTTCCTTTCCTGGGTCGGTCCTCATGTGTGCCAGTTTCGTTGTAGCGCTTTGATGGTTTTTGCGACTCCACTTGGGGACACATTTAAAGTTTTTGCAATTTTCCGGACTGACTGACCTTCATTTCTTAAAGTAATGATGGCCACTCGTTTTTCTTTAGTTAGCTGATTGGTTCTTGCCATAATATGAATTTTAACAGTTGTCCAATAGGGCTGTCGGCTGTGTATTAACCTGACTTCTGCACAACACAACTGATGGTCCCAACCCCATTGATAAAGCAAGAAATTCCACTAATTAACCCTGATAAGGCACACCTGTGAAGTGGAAACCATTTCAGGTGACTACCTCTTGAAGCTCATGGAGAGAATGCCAAGAGTGTGCAAAGCAGTAATCAGAGCAAAGGGTGGCTATTTTGAAGAAACTAGAATATAAAACATGTTTTCAGTTATTTCACCTTTTTTTGTTAAGTACATAACTCCACATGTGTTCATTCATAGTTTTGATGCCTTCAGTGAGAATCTACAATGTAAATAGTCATGAAAATAAAGAAAACGCATTGAATGAGAAGGTGTGTCCAAACTTTTGGCCTGTACTGTATGAAAATTTTAAGTCACGCACCTGTCACAGAGATAATCTATGGCTTATTTCACTACTGCAACAAAACTGAAAGACACAATCTGAAACTGAGGTGTCTCCTTTAGTGAAACTTATAACAGTGGGAAAAAAAATGGAAGGTTATACAATTACAAGTCATCTGAATTTATTTCTACTTTAACCGTGGAGGTATAATCTTATGCTTATCGGCTTTGTGGTGGACAGTAAGATGAGAATTTGATACCACTTTCATGTATTCAGTCAAAAAAGTTCAGAGTGCTCAGAAGGTTCATCTAATCATGTGACGAAGGTGCTCTTTGGTGGGAATGTTGATATCAAAAAAGGGAAATCCAAGGCACTCTTCTTTAAATGTATAGAAAGCCTTTATTTAAAAAATGGCTGTTTCATATAGAAAAGGTTAAAACATGATGAAAGTGGGTTACAGCCCACGCGTTTCGGCACAAAAGCCTTCTTCAGGGTGTGCCTGAAGAAGGCATAAGTAACGAAACAAAAGCCTTCTTCAGGCACACCCTGAAGAAGGCTTTTGTGCCGAAACGCGTGGGCTGTAACCCACTTTCATCATGTTTTAACCTTTTCTATATGAAACAGCCATTTTTTAAATAAAGGCTTTCTATACATTTAAAGAAAAGTGCCTTGGATTTCCCTTTTTTGATACCACTCTCATGTATATCCGTTATATATAAGACTGCAGCCAGCAGCTGGTTTACTTAGCTGAGCACAAAGACTGGAAACAGGGCCTGGCTTGGCTCAGTCTGGCAGCACCTCTAAGCTCACTATTTAACATGTCATATCTTGTTTGTTCAATTCGTACAAAAAACTGAAGTGTAAAAATGACAATTCGCCATTCTCCCAATTTATCAAATATGGCAGCTTGGTCAGTGGCCCTATGCTTCAAACTGACATTCTGCCTGCTCAGGAGTCAGAAGACGTGGGACTCATTGAGCAGAAACTTTTGAGAAGCCAAGCTCATTCTTCAGAATATGATCTGCTCGCTCATGTGAGATGCCCAACCTGTCTGCTACTTGACGCATTGACGATCGCCAATCTTGCATGATCGTGTCCAGGGCAAGGACATGGTTTTCTTCGGTGGTGGCAGTTGGTGGTCTCTAGACCTTGGCTCATCTTCAACACTCTCCCTGCCATGCTTGAATTCTTGTACCCAGTGTTTGACTGTGGCATATGAGGAGGCATTGTGTATTGAGCTTATCTTGGTGGGATTCAGATGGTGACATTCCTTTGAGATGAAGATATTTCATCAGAGCACGGTACTCCAAATGGTTAGGTTTAGAAAAAAACACAATGATTTGAGTGGAAATAACTACATTTGTTACTTAACTTTACTTAAGCAAGTTCATCAGAATGTGACATAGTGAAGTGACACCTATGGCACTTTTCTAGTCTTCCGACCACTCAAAGTGCTTTTACACTACATGTCACATTCACCCATTCACACACACAGTCACATACTCGTGGCTGAGGCTACCATACAAGGTGCCACCTGTGACTTACTAACCATTCACACACTCTAATATACCAATGGAACAGCCATTGGGAGCAATTTGGGGTTCAGTTTCTTGCCTAAAGATACTACAACATGTGGGAGTAGGGGATCGAGCCACAGCCATACAAATGCAAAAGGGTGCCATGTGGGTAGGAATCAAACGCCGATGGCCATTGACCAAGCTGCTGTATTTGACACTGTGGGAATGAGAATGGGCTGATGGGGTTATGAGCCAGAGCAGTAACTTCTTTAACCCCCTAAAGTAGGTGAAATTGTTTTTTCACTTTGATTTTTGTACACTTTAAACAAACAAGATTCAGAAGTTCTGGTGGGAGTGATTTGTTACCTTTGGACAGAGCCAGGCTAGCTGTTCCCCCTGTTTCCGGTCTTTATGCTAAGCTAAACTAAGGTAACCTTCAGCTACAAATTTAACAGACAGATGAGAGTGTCATCGTTTTTTTTCATCTAACACTCAGCAAGATAGTGAGTACGATTATTTATCACAATACTAAACGACTGCATAACAAAGTCATTATCTTATTGAGTTTTACTGAGTTTTATATGGCACATTAAGAAACATTTATGGTTCTTGAAGTCTCATCTCAGAACTTTCATAGGTTGTTCCAGATGTAGAAATTCTCGGTTATGCTATAATACAGTATTTCAGCTCCAGAAAAGTTCTGCTTTTTCTCTGTGCTCAACTGTCCTTGCATACCCAGCAAAAATCAATTATAAGCCAACTGTACTTTCAGGATGATTTCCCATCATTACAGTATCAGACGCTACTTGCACAGATATTCATTACTGCATGAGGTGATTTAGTGATGGTATATCATTTTCTCTCATAACCATCACATTTACAAAACCACTGGGGAACAATAGCAGTCATTCTGGATGATAGCGTTGCCATTAGACAGAAAATAAATCACAAAATGATTGCTCTTTTTATCCAAAAAAATCTGAAGCATCTGCCAGTCTTCTTGCACGATAGTAAGGTTAGACAGAGGAAGTTTTACTGTATATTTCAGGCTTGTGAGAGCGACACTGAGAGCATGCGATTTGACCTATGACCTGCTGAGTCATCAGGAGATCCCTGTGGTTAACAAGCGTGTAATTTTCAAAGTGCTAACTGAGGTGAATCTCTTGACCCTGGCTCAACAGAAAGTCCTGAGAAACTCACCTCCACAGAAGACAATGGAGGGGTAAAGTGGTCAAATGGGGCAATAAACATGGTTCCTACTTTGTGAAGTTACTTAGTTTTACCACTTTCTTGCTTTATTTAACTGTTTTTATTGTCTTGTGATGCACTTTGTAACGTCTGTTTTGAAAAGTGCTATATAATTACATTTATCTATATTATTTTT